TTGTTTTGAAAGGACATAAGGAAATATCTTTCTCATCTTACAAGATAGAAATCGCCACAAGAATTAATTCAATTAAAGATCCTAAAATCGGCCACTTTTAATAGTCTTCCACGTTAGAAATTCTTATTTGCCTCTAATGAAATGATAGACATCATAAATCTCTTACAAGGAAGGAAAAACTACATAACATGCAAAAAAACAACCTTTTACATATTTTAAAAGAAGTAAAAAGCACCATAAGGACCTCCTTTTCTGTCGCCTGCAATGCAAAAGAAACCTTAAGGAACACACCTACACTTACAGTCTAGAAAACATCACAAACACCTAACTTCCAGATACCAGATACACCCATCTCCTTGTCTTACCAGATACACCCATCTCCTTGTCTTACCAGATACACCCCACTCCTTGTCTTATCAGATACACCCCACTCCTTGTCTTACCAGATACACCCAACTCCTTGTCTTACCAGATACACCCATCTCCTTGTCTTACCAGATACACCCCACTCCTTGTCTTACCAGATACACCCAACTCCTTGTCTTACCAGATACACCTAACTCCATTGTTTTACCAGATACACCCCACTCCTTGTCTTACCAGATGCACCCAACTCCTTGTCTTACCAGATACACCCAACTCCTTGTCTTACCAGATACACCCAACTCCTCGTCTTACCAGATACACCCATCTCCTTGTCTTACCAGATACACCCAACTCCTTGTCTTACCAGATACACCCAACTCCTTGTCTTACCAGATACACCCAACTCCTTGTCTTACCAGATACACCCAACTCCTTGTCTTACCAGATACACCCAACTCCTTGTCTTACCAGATACACCCAACTCCTTGTCTTACCAGATACACCCAACTCCTTGTCTTACCAGATACACCCCACTCCTTGTCTTACCAGATACACCCAACTCCTTGTCTTACCAGATACACCCAACTCCTTGTCTTACCAGATACACCCAACTCCTTGTCTTACCAGATACACCTAACTCCATTGTTTTACCAGATACACCCCACTCCTTGTCTTACCAGATACACCTAACTCCATTGTTTTACCAGATACTGGACGGCCCTAATAACCGCGCCCCTGAACAAGGAAGATACTGTGGGTCGCATACTCCACGTGCTATAATTTCCTCTGCAAGATACCTTACTGTTAACTTGGTTACGTTGTATGGTTTCGGTGTAGGATTCAGGTAGGTCTGTGTGTGTGTGTTTGTGTGTGTGTGTGTGTGTGTGTTTGTGTGTGTGTTTATGTGTTTGTGTGTGTGTGTTTGTGTGTGTGTGTGTGTTTGTGTGTGTGTGTGTGTGTGTGTGTGTGTGTGTGTGTGTGTGTGTGTGTGTAATTTCTATTTTTCATCTCTCTCGGACAATTGTATTCGCCATTTATGTCGTAAATATTTAAGATATGTGTGTTCCATATATCCTAGAAACTTGTATTCATCGTAGATATCATAGATATTTAGAACCTATATTTGAATATATCTAAGACAAATATATTCTCCATTAATATCATATATATTTGATATCTATGCTTTTCCATATCGCTGAAACAAATATATTCACCGTTAAATATCGTATATTTGCCTACAATTTTAAATTTTCTGTTCTCTACGACAGTCATATTCACCAATATCATTTATTTGTCCATATTTCACATTTCTATTTTAAATCTCTTTATGACAATTATATTCACCATAAATACTGTATATCTGTCTATATTTCAAATTTCTGCACCCCCCCCCCCTTTTATACAACCATTATTTACCATTAACGTTGCATAAATCAAAAATTGATGCCTTTCCTTCTCGCTAAGACAGTCGTATCCATTATTAATACCGGATATTTGCCTATTATTAAGAATTCCCGTCTCCTTCTCATAAAATTATCCGTCGTATATATATAAAATGTGTTTTCCATTTTATTAAGACAGTTATATCCATCATCCAAAAAAATTGTTACACCCATCATTAATATATACATTTATTTTTTTCAATCTCAATAAGACAATTATATCCACCATTGATACCGAATATTTACAAACAATGTCCATTTCCCTTTCCCCATTTTTATCACTCTTTCTCTCTCTCTCTTTCTCTCCACAGGGCTGTCTATAGCGTCCTCACTTCAGGCTGTGGAGGAGACCTGAGCTCGGTGTCGGGAGAGCTGGCCACGCCCCATTATCCCCAGCCTTATCCGAGTCCCATTGAGTGCGAGTGGAACGTCAAGGCTGGTCCAGGTAGGTGTGGGGAAGGGGGGGGGCGAGGGATGTCAGTGAAGGGGTGGGAGGAGGTGTTTGTGTGTGGGGAAGGTGTGTGCATGTTTATGTGTGTGGGAGGGAAGGTGTTTGTTTTTGCGTGTGTGTGTTTATGTATGTATGTATGCATATTAAACAACAAGTACTCCGACATACGGGATTAAACATTCATATAAAAAGCCTCACTCACTCACTACGAACGAAACAATACCCAGTCAACATCTTTACGCTAATCTAACCCCTTCCCCTCCACCAGGCAACCAAGTACAACTCAACTTCATAGAATTCGACTTGGAAAACACCCAAGGATGCAACACAGATTACGTCGAGGTGCACGAGACGGATCCTGCAGGACCCTTGCTTCTCCACAACTGCTCCACCAACCTCCCGGCGCCCATCAACGCCCACGACTCCCTCTGGATCAAGTTCCGTTCGGACGAGACGGGCGTGGGGGCTAAGGGCTTCCTCGCCTCCTACAGCCTGGGTGAGGAACTGGCGTCGTCGTGTTTATGCATCGTCTGAGGGATAGGGAGGGGGGTAGGGAAGGGGTTGAGAGGGGGATAGGGAGATAGGGAGAGGGAAAAGGAGGGAAAAGGAGAGAGAAGGAGAGAGAAGGAAAGAGAAGGAAAGAGAAGGATGGAGAAGGAGGGAGACGGAGAGAGAGTGAGAGTGAGAGAGAGTGAGAGAGAGAGAGAGAGAGAGGGAGGGAGAGGGAGAGAGAGAGAGAGAGAGAGAGAGAGAGAGAGAGAGAGAGAGAGAGAGAGAGAGAGAGAGAGAGACAGAGACAGACAGACAGACAGACAGATAGACAGACAGACAGAGATAGACTGACTGACTGACAGACAGAAGCAGACAGACAGACAGAAAGAGAAACAGACAGACAGTGCGAGAATAATGAAAATCAGACACGACAAAAACATCTCTGACACCACCCCTCCCCCCCTCAGTGTACGGCGTAACCCAACGAGGCGAGAGCGGCGAGGTCGTGTCCCCGATGTACCCACATGTGTACAGAGGCGAGGACATTACTTGGCGGATTAGAGTGTCCTGGGAAAAGGTCGTACGCATCACCTTCTTAGATATGGACATCGAAGGCAACCCTGTCGACGACACTTGTATCTCGTCAGTGCAGGTAAGAGTGAATATGGTCTTCTGTCATGAAAGAGTTTGTGTTTCTTTGTGACACGGTTTCAAAATATACTCATTGCAGTTAAATTATTCATAGTTGAAGTCAGATGTGCTAGGAATAGACTTTATTACTTTTTCATCATAAAGGTCTTAACAGGGATGGTTTAAAATATCCTTTAGAGACTATTAACTTGTGATTTTAAAACTTCTGACCTTTATGACTACCGTATGAAATAATATCTAAACTTAGAATTTCAGATAAGCAAAGGAAGTCACCGTAATTTATCGTCAATCGGACCTATCACTAATAAAATTACCATCATGTTTTCCTTTTCAAGTGAATATAGAAAGGGGAACCACGTTACAGAGTTACTTCTATCACCCAGAGATAAATATATGTAGCTTTGCGAGAACAGTGAATAGTGTGATAGTTTTGGAATGCAGGGTAAAGAATGTGGAATCCTAAAGTTTTAACCCGAAATATTACAGGCATTAAATTGTTACTTTGCTTACCCAGTGCAAGGAAGAAACAGATTAAGGAATACTACCCCGTTCTTTTGTCGAGGAGAAAAAGTGTTCTTGATAGGCTGATGATGACTGATAACAATGGTGATGAAAACTGACTGAAATACAAATATGTTATTTAGACGTGTTTCACTCAGCCAATCATCGTTAACTTAAGTACATCTTCGATTCCTCTAAAAAATATGAATTTTATTTTGTTGAAAACAACGTGTTGATCCTGCCCACGATAACCCTTATAATGTTCTCCACCCTAATAGGTTTACTCAGGCTACTACAGACATGTCGGCACTTTCTGCGGCTACGAGGCACCCCCAGATCCCATCTACAGCTCGTGGAACGTGGCGACGGTCAAGTTCCACACTGGGCATCACAACGTGGGTGCCAGGTTCCGGTTCCGCTATGACGCCGTTGACCGAGGGGTTCATCCTCCCTCGACGATGGTCAGGCAAAGTATGTATCGACACGTAGCGTGTTCTAAGTCTTAATTCTATGATAAAGAAATACTGGATCTTCATAATTAAACCCGGAAAAAAAGAAGAATTCGTGCTTGTACAGCGCAAACATCGATAATCAAACCCGGAAAAAAAATCCATCCTTATAGAACCCTCAAGACTTCATGCTTACACAACCCCAAACACCGATAACTCAACTCAAATCATGCTAATAACATACCAATCGCCGACAGTACAGTACATTCCCACCTAACCTGTACTCTCTCTCTCTCACCCCCCCCCCCTGCCACGTACAACAGCCGATAGCAACTGCACCTTCTTCATGACTCTCAACGAATCTTCAACGGTAATCAAGAATCCAGGCAACCCAGGCTACGCTAACAACCTCAATTGCCAGTGGATATTGGAAGCTCCCGCACATTTCCGCTTGCAAATCTACGTGTCTTATGAACTGGAGGAATCTCAAACATGCTATTACGATCGCATTAATATTTATGATGGTAGGTTATTGGCCAATTTTCTTTTTTTAAGTGTGAGGGGATATTGATATTGAAAGGGATGAATTAAATCAATTGGGAATTATCATCATTGCTGTTATAGTTGTAATCATTGTTATTATTATAAGTAGTGGTAGTAGTAGTATTGTTATTATTATTATTATTATTATCAAGATTATTATTGTTTTCTCATTGTTACAGATCTTGTTATTAGTCTTCATTTTTTGCGCGTGTGTTATTATTATCATCATTACCATAATCTTTGTTATTGTTTCTTCCTTCATATTTTCTTCTTTCACGTTCTCTCTCTCTCATTCATCCCATTCTTCGATTCCTCAGGCGTAGAAGGCCGTCAGACGTGGAACCAAACCCGTACGCTCTGCCGTCGGTCGCAGTGGTCTGAGAAATCCTTCAAGTCCAGCGGTCGCTTCTTGAAACTCACCTTCGTCACCGACCACTCCGTTAGTGCGAGAGGGTTCGAGGCCTACATCGTGCCACGTAAGGAAGTCGTTGGGAGATTACTTGAAGAGACGGGTAATGGGGTAACGAGAGAACGGGGTAAGAGTGAAACGAGGAAACGGGATAAAAGGGGAACGGGGTAACGTGGTAACAAGATAACGTGGTAACCGGGTAACAAGGTAACATGGTAACAGAGTAACAAGGTAACGTGGTAACAGGGTAACGAGGGAAAGTAATAACGGGGTAACGAGTCCCACATCATAACGAGAAAGGAATTCATTGGGTGATTACCCGAAGAGACGGTTAAGGGTGGGGGGGGGGGGGTAAACGGGGTAACCGAGTAAGGAGATAACGGGATAGATAGAGGAGTAACGGAGTAGGGTTTTGGGGCGGTCGAGGAAGGGAAAAAAAGAGAGAGAGATGAAGATAGATATTACGAGAAGATAGAGAAAGAGGGACAAACAAACAGAACTGGATGGAGAGCGAAAATACCCCCCTCACACACACAATAGAAAAAAAAAGAGAAAATACCCCTCTCCCCTCTCCCCCCCCCCCAAAAAAAAAAATAATAATAATAATAAAAAATAATAAATAACACAAAAAATAAGTATAACACAGCCACCGTCTCTCACCCAGAATGCGGAGGCTACTTGTACGGTCCAGAAGGTGTTATCGCCACGCCCAATTATCCGGAGAACTATGACAGTGGACTTCGTTGTAAATGGCACATAGTAGTCGGCTTTGGAAGGACTATCAGGCTCGAGTTTGATGAGTTTAAGGTGACGAACACGACGCCAGTTTGTGGGGGAGACTATCTGTTGGTGAGTGTGTGATAGTTCTGGTTTTTATTGATGGGTTTATTTTTCTCTTAGTGTTTTTTCTACTTTCTTTTCCTTTCGTTTTTTGTTGTTTTCTTTTTTCTTTCGTTTGGTTCTTTTTTTTTCTTTATTTATTTTCTCTCTTTTTTCTTTTTCTTTCTTTATTTTCTCTCTTTTTTCTTTTTCTTTCTTTATTTTCTCTCTTTTTTCTTTTTCTTTCTTTATTTTCTCTTTTTCTTTCTTTTTTTTATTTTCTTTCTTTTTTTTCGTTTTTTTTTGTTTTTCGTTTTTATCATTCTTTCTTTCTCTCTCTTTTCCCCTTCCTTTCCTGTTTTTCTTTCTTTTCTTTTCCTCATTTTTTTGCTTCTTATCTTTCTCCTCTTTGTCTCTTTCCTTCTTTCCTTTTTATATTTTCATTCTTTCTTTCTTTCTCTCCTTTCCTTCATTCTTTTTCTCCCCCTTCCTTCCTTCCTTTCTTTTTCTTGTCATTGTTATTGTTGTAGGTACTGTCCCTAAACCTGACAGTCTTTCTTATCGTGTTTATCATAATTAAATTAAGCAATTATCATGCTTATAACTACTATTTCTATTACTACTACCACCCATGCTACTAACACTCCAGCTACAAATCTACTCTCTCCCTCCCTCCTTCCCTCTCCCTCCCTTCCTTCCTCCCCTCTTTCCCTTCTTCCTTCTCCCTCCCTCCTTCCTCCCCTCTCTCCCTCCTTCCCTCTCCCTCCCTTCCTTCCTCCCCTCTTTCCCTCCTTCCTTCTCCCTCCCTTCCTTCCTTCCCTCTCTCCCTCCTTCCTTCTCCCTCCTTCCATCTCCCTCCCTTCCTTTCTCCCTTCTCTCCCTCCTTCCCTCTCCCTTCCTCCTTCCCTCTCCCTCCCTTCCCTTCCTTCCCTACCTCTCCCTCCTTCCCTCTCCCTCCCTTCCTTCCTCCTCTCTCCCTCCCTCCTTCCCTCTCCCTTCCTTCCTTCCTCCCCTCTCTCCCTCCTTCCTTCTTCCTCCCTCCTTCCTTCCCTCTCTCCCTCCTTCCCTCTCCCTTCCTCCTTCCCTCTCCCTCCCTTCCTTCCTCCCCTCTCTCCCTCCTTCCATCTCCCTTCCTTTCTCCCTCCCTTCCTTCCTCCTCTCTCTCTCCCTCCTTCCCTCCCTGCCCCCCTTCCCCCTCCTTCCCCCCCTTCCTTCCCTCCTTCCCTCTTCCCCCCTTTTTCAAAACAAAAAAAAAAACATATATTTTTTTTCAGATCCGAAACGGCAACAGTCCTTCCTCGCCCTTCCTCGGAGCCGGGAAATTCTGCGGCACTGCTACTCCTCAAGTCACAGAGTCATCCTCAAACGTCCTCACAC